GGAAAGAGTTGCACCTGAACACCTCCCCTCTGCTCCCTGCTTGGCACCGGGCTGCTGACAGTTTTTGTGCACTGCATTTCACCCGGGGGAGGCAGCGGCAGCCTTTACCTCTTGCATTCGCTCAAACTCTCCAGCCAAGGATGCACAGCTAGAAATCCCACAAATGACACCAGGAAAAAAAAAATTAAAAAAAAAAAAATCAGTGCCGACACGGACATTAAGGGAACGCAATGTGCTGTTGACTCTGGACAAGTCCACCAAGCCAAAGACACGGTGGAAACCTGCAGGCCACAGTCCTGAAAGAGCTGGTGGGCACGGGAGGGGACCACAAAGGAGAACAAGAAGAAAGGGGCTGTTTTTTCAATGCAGACCTGTTTATGAAGTGAGAAATGGTTTCAGGGCAGCTGCTGCAAATTCTTTCACTAGCTTATATTTCCATTTGCTTCCTTTTTAAAGAATTTGTTTTATGAGCACAGCGTTTGTCAGGTCATTAGCTTCTGAGGGCATCTGGTACCAATTTTAGCCCTCTCCCCTCCCGTCCCACAGTCACCTTCTCTGGGCAGTTGCTTTGCTCCCTGCCTGTGCCCCCAGCACATGCACATGCTCCCGTCCCCAAGTCCACCTCCCCATGAAGGAGCCACTGTCCTAAACCTCCCCATGTGCATGTCTCTGCACATGCATGTGTGAAAGGGGCTGAGCTGCTCCTCTTTCCAGCCTTGCTCTTGCGTCCCATCTCCTTCCTCACCAGCCAGGGGCACACAGGGAGATGGTCCACAACATACCTCCTACCATGGTGCTTGATACTGCATCAACACACCACAGCAAGAAAGTCCTTACCCCTGGGTACATGGAGATTATGCAGCCAAGCCACAGCCCACATTTTGAGAAGCAGGACTGGGAGATGGGTGGTGGGTTCACCAAGCAGCTGTAGGCTACAGGGAAGCAGATGGCTACACTGGGACCCCAAAGACACCTAACTTCAACTGCTCATGGAGTTGGGTTGAGTTACGGAGCGTGTGCTCATCACGGTGATGATTTGGAGGTAGAGGTGGCACCCTCCGGATGCATCCAGCCAGGCCAAGTGCTTGGTTGGGGCAGTTCTGCTCCATTGTCCAGGGCAGCCTCGGCAGTTGGGACAACACAGTTATTCAACAGCAAGTAACAGAGTACTGATCCTTTTCAGCACCACTGGGCACAGTTTGGTTTTCCACCAGTTCAGAAACATAACCGACAATGCTGGTAGAGCAGCAAGTTTCTTACTGTATGTAAGTATATATACATATATATGCAAAAGGTTATATGGACATATAGGTCATAATATCAATATCTTTCTTTTTATATACACCACACGTATATACTCACGCAGACATTCTTTATGTGCATATAGATACATTTTAGAAATAATTACCTTTCTCTTTACCCCAAAAGATGACTAACTTATCGCTGTTTTGTCCGTGACTAACACCACACCTATTCCACAAATATCCACCAGGTTTTATTTTGGAAATGATCCTAGGCCTATCGACTTAAGTTCTGAGAAGCGGTTCTCATCCTACATGTAGCTTTGAAGTCTGGTGCTGCTGTTCCAGACCTGAAGAGGGGCTCGTGTCACTGGAAGCTATCTGATTTTCTCAAATATATCAGTAAGCTTAAAAAAAAAAATATATAGATATATTAAAAAAAAAGAGATTAAAGATTTTTTTTTTTTAAGATTAAAAAAAAAACTCTACTTGCAAACTTTGCTTTGATTGCTTCCTTTATTATTATCACTGTCATCATGACTACCGCTGCAACGCTCTGGGCTAGGACAGCCTTGAGCCTGATACTGTACAAAAAAAAAAAGCCATGTGGCCTGGCCCCATCTTGATCCACATGCCTTACCAGGGTTCGGGTAACGTGATGGAATAAATCATTGCTCTCAGCTGCTGGAACACCCTAACGAAGGCTGGATGAGGAAGCGGTGTAGTTAGCCCAGCTCTGATCTCAGCATGAAGGAGCTCTTTCTCCTTTTCATGATAAATGAAATTCCTGTATTGCAGCTGCAAACTCCTGACATTTGGCCATTTCTGATTCAGGCTGTATAAGATGTGGGACAAGCCAATTTTTTTTTTCCCCCCTCTTGCATAAAACATCAAAAAATATTTCAATTTTTATCCTAGCATCTTTTGAAGTTCAAACTAATGATTTGACAACATTTTCACAAAATATCAATGTTTTTCTCCTAGCTTATTCCACATCAGCACCAGCCTGCGTGATTTTCTGGGCTCACCAACTCCCGTAATTCATACATCAAAGTTTCAGATCTGGACCTTTGTGAAATTCTGCCTAGTGATGGCCCTAACTGCTCTGGAATGATAAGAGCTTTGTTCTGAAGTGGGACCAGTTCTATAAACCAGAGCGAAACTTTTCCTTTGGGATCCTCCACCTTTCTATAATAAGAGCAGGAGGCAACTACCAGCAATGGAGCATGTTGAGCCAGTGGTGACAACGCTGGTAGGGAGTCATCATTTTGTTGTGACAAAACGCAAATTCTGAAAAGCTGAAATTTCACATTTTGCAGCAATTATTTCACAGAACCCGGAAAATACTGATGGATTTACCCAAGTCAAGCTAAGCCAAGCCAAATACAGTGCAGCTGACTAAAGTATAATAAATCATCCATATATTGCTGTAGTATCTACCCAAGCTTTCAACCCAAAGATTGCTGCTAAAACAAGCCCTTATCATCAAGCTCCAACTCTAACAAGAGAAAATTATTGTAAGAAGTTCATCTGATGGTGCAGATTTTTGGGGACAGGGGGTTATAGGAGATGCTGATGGAAAGGTTCAGGCTTCAGCCAAATCTCCTGAAGTTAAAGTAGTTGCTGCATGTACTCTGGTGAAGTCTGGATCGTAGCACTGAACATCAGTGAGATAAAAGGTGTTTACCCCACTGTGGTCTAGCAAAAGAGAATAGCTAGGAAATGAGAAAAGGTGTTTTGGAAATACTTGGGAATTTCTCCCTTCAGGCATGTTTTTTGTGAAGGGGAAAGGTCTCACTTTTCCAGTAAAGCTGATGGCAACCATCCTTGTGGGAGCAGGCTACGTGTACAGACCCAACGGTGGTGATGCTTCTTGATTACAATCTTCATTGAGGTTGCCAC